AAATTGTCTCCCTCGTATTAACCAATCAAAATATTGCATTTTAACATGAAGTATAATAAAACGATATGTTGGATTTAAGGTATGTTTTTTCTCTCGTTTTTGAAAAAGTACTTTCCAAGCTTATAATACATTAGCGTGTTGCTTAACATATGTATTCAAGTATTGATAGACGTAAATTGATTTGTTATTATGATGTATGTGACTGTAAAAAAAACTCTTTTGAAGAGTCATTTTCTACAAAAGATAAGTATTTTAACATATCAAAGAAGTTTTTACAATCAAAATAAACGGATCACCGATGTAATAAATGGATCTTAATTATGAATTTAATACAAAACAGAAAACGTTATACCATCTTTTTTGCAAGTTTATTGTTTTCTGTTTAGTATTAAATTTAAAATTAAGATCCATTTATTACATCGCTGATCCGTTTATTTGGCAATCGCCAATGGCAGTCAGCAGGGTTTAAGAACATTTGTTGTTCGACCTGTTAGTCAAATGCGATTTGTTAAAATATACTTTTTCACTTTTTTGGTTTTTTGGAAAATGTTGTTTGTGCTGTATTTAGACCCCTCTAACAAGAAATTTGTTTTGCATGCACACGTATAAAAATTGCGGTTTTTATCCAACGCAATCATAGGTTTGAACGTTGTTTTCAATTTAGACTTGTTTATATTTTTTCGTTTGGGCTTGTATTATATTTGCTTTCGGGTTTATATGATCCGTTCATCCTATTTTGACTCCTCAAAATTCAAGAGTCTATCCTAAATTGAGGTAAATTGGATGGCTTTCCAAATACCGTTTTGATTCCTAACATCACTGAAGAGACATTAATTGTCGAAATCCGGATATGGTGTACAAAAACCTTTGCACCTTTTGTTTGCGGTATACCATCTTTTCCGCAAATTTATTGTTTTCTGTTTAGTATTAAATTTATAATTAAGATCCATTTATTACATCGGTGATCCGTTTATTTGGCAATCGCCAATGGCAGTCAGCAGGGTTTAAGAACATTTGTTGTTCGACCTGTTAGTCAAATGCGTTTTGTTAAAATATATTTTTTCACTTTTTTGGTCTTTTGGAAAATGTTGTTTGTGCTGTATATATATATATATATATATATATACAAAAAAAGAAAGAGTTTTCGTTTTTCATTTTTGGTACCTTTAAACTAAAAACGAAAACTGAGCATGTTTTTGTTTTTTATTTTTGATTTCTCAAAGTTGTTCGTTTAGATAGAATAAGCGAGTAGTTTAACAGTAATAATGCTTTTTCTCTTACTTTGTTTGGTATTGAAAATTTTAGTAAATTGTCTTATATGTCTTAAATTATTCAATTTTCACTTACTCTAATCAACTAATCTTATAATAACAGTAGTTACGTATAAAAAGTATAGGTGATATGTACGGAAACGTATATGAACATAGTATTAATTATTTAACAACGCTAATGGCTCCTAAAAGTATGTCTCTTAAGTGCCTTATAGTTGAAGATGACGGGTTAATTATAGCAGACTCTTTATATACAATAGCGTTCTGTCTTATAAATGTAGGGCATTTTATTTTACATAATTTTATTTTCTTGTGAATTAAGGTTAATGAAATAAAACATACTTATGACAATAAAAACCAATAAGGCAGCTTATCTAAGGCGATATATGAGCTTATAAAATATTAAAATGATGTGCTTTTAATTAGTTTTGTGTCACCAAACTCAAGTTAAGGAAAAAAAAACCCGTGAAAAAAATATGTATCAAGCTGAACTATAAGCCAGAGAAAAATTAAAAAAAATGTACCAAACTGATCATACCTGAAAACCGAAAATTTGCAACTTGCCCTAATGAAAAATAAATTCAGAGGAGTATTTCTATTTACTTAATTTTTACTTTATTGAGAAAGTGTGTACTATCAACGACTGAAACCTTTTTTCATTGTTGGTGACCTCATTGTATAATTTACGTAACTGATCAGTCTTTTGTAGACAAAAATTTGGTCTAGGCATCTATGAGGAGGTATTACTATTAATTAGCTGCGGAACCCTAGCTTTCAGGTTCTTTTTGGGTATGGTTATGGTTGTTTCTAAAAAAAATATTCTGTTCCCCAATTTGATGAAAACATTATTGTGGTCAAGCAGATGACAAAAATAGGTGGAAAATTATAGAAATGAAAATAATTCGATAACAGTGTCAAGGAATTGAATATTGGTACATCATATCATAGAAAGCTATCTAAAGAACGAACTGTATACATTGACAAGCTATGCACGGTCGATAAATAATAAAAATTTGGGAAATAAGTGCGACCTGAACATTTAGATTCTAAGCACACACATTTTCCAATCGTGAAATTGAAGCCCCGTTAAGTTGTCATGGAAATGTAAACAAGTGTTTATTTGTAAGTACATGTATCAGAATATATAAGGGCAACAAATACTTTCCCTATACTTTCATCTTCCAATTGCTATTGTTTTATCTCTGATGGTTCCCAACCTCCTAAAAGTGCCTCATTGTTTTTCATTTCATTCTGTTGTTCCTTGAGTTCGCTCCTAGTGACAGCTCTGATCATTCCTGGAATTAACCCTGTTAGTTCAGTGTCCTCGATATATGGTGTTTATATGCTTCAGTGAGGGGTGTAGCAAGGTGTTCAACAGTTACTGTTTCTTTTTGTTTTTCCAAATTTGAACGGCATTCTACAGGGTTGTCACTTACCTTCCTAGCATCAAATTTTTCGGCTTGATTTTAATCCTCTTGTCGTTTACATGACTTACATGGTTTTCTGACATTGCATCAGCATTTGTATGTTTCCTCCCTGCCCTATGAGTAACCTTAACATTATATGTTCCTAATGTCTGAAGCCATCTTGCTACCTGACCCGTAGGATCCTTTAGACTTTGAAGCCATCTGACTGCTGCATTTTCAGTCCTAAGTAAAACTCGTCTACCATAAACGTATGGATGAAAATTCTTTAACGCAATGATTACAGCTAGTAAATCCTTTCGAGTTGTACAGTATGAAATTTCGTGCTTGTTGGATGTCTTGCTCATGAAGGCAATAACATGTTCACGACCATCGTGTTCCTGGGACAGAACGGCTCCCACTGCGTAATTACTGGCATCGGTGTCCAAAATGAAGGGCTTATCTGTAACTGGGTAAACTAATATTGGATGTGTAGTCAGTGCTTCTTTAAGTGAGTTAAAAGCAATCTGGCAGTTTTCTGTCCAAATGAATTTCGCCCTATTTTCGCATGCGTTATGTAAAGGTCTGGATAAATCAGCAAAACCATTAACACAATTCCGATAGTAGGAGCAAAGTCATAAAAAGCTCTGTATTTTCTTTGAATTCCGAGGGACTGGCCATTTTTGAACTTCTTCTATTTTCTCAGGATCGGTTTGAACTCCGTGCTCTGAAACTCCATGTTCAAGAAATTTGACGCATTTCTGAAACAAAATGCATTTAGAAGGTTTTAATTTTATGTTGGCCTCTCTCCTTTTTTAATATACATGCTCTAGCCTAAGTAGCTCTTCTTCAAATGTTGCTCCTTGGAACAATTATATCATTCATATACAAAAGACATTCCTCCCACTGTTGTTCTCTTAGGACGTCCTCCATTAGCCTTCAAAAACTGCTGGGCTAGTGACTAAGCCAAATGGGGTAACTGTAAACTGAAAGAGTCCTTGATTGGTCGAAAATGCTGTCTTTTCTCTGTCTTCTGGATAGAGTTCTATTTGATAAAAACCTTGATTTAAGTCCAGACATCCAAACCATTTGGCTCCTGTTAAAAAATCCAAGCAATCGTCCACATGAGGCAAAGGATATGCGTCCTTATTAATTATCAGTTAATTTAAAGCTCTATAAACCACATATACTTTTGTACTTCCATCCTTCTTGGTTATAAGTACTGTCCCAAAACTCCAAGGGCTATTAGATGGTTCAATTACTCCTCGGTCCAACATTTTGACTTTTCCCCTCTTTTGTGTTTCCCTCTTTCCCAATGGTAGCCTCCTAGGTGCTTGTCTCATTGGTAGTGCAGTTCCTGTATTTATCCTATGTTATACCTTATTAGTCCTCCTTAAAATCATCGGCTGATTTTGCAAAAACATCTGAATATAATAGAAGAAGTACCTTTAGTCGTTGCTTTTCCTTTCCTTGTAGTTGTACAATACTTCTGTTAAATAGGTCCTCAATATGTGATGGTAGCTTATCTGATCTGGTTCATTCTGTTCTAATGTGATTGCATACTTCTACAGCTGGCATTTCGTAGATGATTCACATTTTTTTCAGTTTATGAGCGAGTCGGTTGAAGTAAGAGTGAATTTGTTTGAAATTGATAAACTTTCAATGACGGACGCTTTGTTCGTAAAAAAAAATAAAAATGTTGACCTAATTGTGTAGCGATTTCACACCTCAATTGCCCTAGGCATGATAAAAGTTCATCAACACCTCTTACATGTTCCTAAGGGTTTGGTGAAATGCAGCTTATGTCATCTAATTAAGCCTTCATTAACTAATAAACATATTGAATTGTTTTAAATTTGTCATTTAGGGGCCTTTTATAGCTGACTATGCGGTATGGGCTTTGCTCATTGTTGAAGGCCGTACGGGGACTTAAAGTTAATAATTTCTGTGTCATGTGGTCTCTTGTGAGGAGTTGTCTTGTTGGCAATCATACCACATTTTTTTTAATGTATATACGCGTTTGTTTCCATATTTTTTGTGTGCGAACTGCTTTTGCCATTTTCTTATCCAATACACTAAACTGTTTATTGGTTTTAGTAATTATAATCATACAAATGGACAAAACTTGTGTCATTTGAAGTGTAAGAGTATTGATATATGGTGTACAAATATTTTGTGCGGTAAATTATTTATGTTTAATGCGTTAGAATATTGATATTTGTTGTAGTATTCTAATTTTCTGTGAATTATTTATCTTAAAGATATTGTTTCACAAAACACAAATGGTATGATAAATGTAACGTCATATGACACATGATTTCAAATCAAAAAGTTGTATATTACAGTGCATTACTTGACATAGATATGCAGAGTTAGGGACGGTTTTAATATTTGAAGACTTGAGAGGACTGTTCTAGAATTTTGATTGTAGAAAATGCGTCTTAGTATATACCAAGGACTTTTGTTACTTTATAAAATCCTGCAAATTTCTGCTGAGCAATTTACATCAGAAACTTTCCGGATAAATCCAGATAAGCGAGATGTAAAGTTGCGTGGATTTACTTATCGCAAATTTGAAAATATATCACCGAGGGCATGCTTCCAAAAATGTATCCGGCGAACACGATGTTATTCTTACAACTATAACAGAGCTTCTCTTAGATGTGAAATTAATATGAAACCAAGAGAATTTTCTGGAGGCAATTTTCAGACTGAGATTGGTTATAACTTCGTTGAGATTCAACATTACAGAGGGGTGAGTTAAGGATTCAAATAAATGAATGGATAAATGAATGGCATGCAATAAATCAATTTCACTTGTTTTAATTTAATACCCCACAAACAAATTCGAATAGCTTCAACTGATTAGATATTCAACGAATAATGTACTTATGTATCTGTTGCTAAAAATAAGGTTTTATATTACGAAAATAGAGCCACACTCATACTATAAAATGAGAGGAGAGGAACACCCATGATTTAAAGATATCGATAGTTCAACGTGTAAACTTCATCAGTATGTTATGTTCCAAATCATCACGAATCTAAAATTTATTTTCAATAAATTCAACAAAAAATACGAAAGATCGGTCAGCAACACGAAATTCTCCAATAATCAAAAGCATTCCGACATGGCAGAAGAAACACAATTTTTACAGAAAAGCACCTGAAGTTTAATTGATCTATTTGTAGATTTCAATGTTTCTGAAAATTAATCATTCAAAGGAATAGGAATTCTGGTTTCGCTGTATTGGTACCAAAAAATGACAACTTAACGCCCGTTTTGTAATACTTTATGGCAAATAAATGAAAAGCGTTGTAATGTATACAAAAACAGAAAAAAAAATGTTCACATCATTAGCCATTGGAAAGAAAAAATAATAGAATACAATTTGACTTCTATGTAACCTCTCCAGAAATATGTCAGATGAACTGTTCTGAACATCAACTAAAACTGTTTTTAATCCTGACTGAAAATCATCTCTTATTTTACGATATTGAGTTGTTCCGCATAGAACACATTCTGACAGTATCTTTATTGTTACGAATCACTATTGATGTCTAAAATCAACAAAGACCCATCAAAAAAACATCTGATACAACAACATTTGCCCTCTTAAATACAAAGGAAAATGTCCCCTTCCCCTTTGGAAATGGCACTTTTAATATTACAAATAATTATAAAATTGCCTTTCAATACCATCATTGTCATGAAAATTGTTTGGACTGGTATTGTGAAAATAATTGTATAAAGTTCGAGATTGCATGTTCGTTACGTAAGTGTGTCACTATTTGTGATATCCTGTGTTGTCTGTCGTTGATGGAAGATGTTCGTTGTTGTTCTGTGGTTTGCCTGTTGTGTCGACTGTTATATTATTTGTTTGTGCGTTTCTCTGTGATGAGTGTTCTTGCGTGTATTTGTGCTGTATTTCTGTCACGTAGTGTTGTCATTTTAGCGATATTTTTAAACATTGTCATATAAGTGGGAGGATTGGCTAGCCATAAAACCAGATGCAACCCACCAAAGAAAAAAATGTCCTGTACCAAGTCAGGAATATGGCAGTTGTTATAAAATAGTTCGTTGCTGTGTATGTTGGCGTTTGTTTTTGTTGCTTTTCAGTGTTCCTGTTGTTCCTTTGTTTTCCTTTTATAGTTGATGTGTTTCCCTCGGTTTTAGTTTGTAACCGCATTTGTTTTCTCTCAATCGATTTATGACTTTTAAACACCGATATACTACTGTTGTCATTATTTAAGATGACTCTTGTAACATTTCTTTTCGTTCAGCATCATATTTTTTTAAATTATAAACAAATACCGATAATTCAAATCAGAATTTGCCTCAAAAGTACTTCAAAGTATTTTGGATTGTTTCCTTTCCAAAATCACCGAAATAAAGGAAAACATTTTGACTTGGTTGCCATTTAAACCGTGCCATGACAACAATTTAGTGCGTATATTCTCTAGTTTATATACCCAATTGTCTGGTTATGCCTTGTTTCAGGTTATCGGTTATCATGTGTGCACAATGTAAAATGGTAGGTCATTACAGAGAGTTGCTATGTTAAAAATGTTCAACATGTGTGTGTTAATATTTTTGCAGTGACACCTGGTTTATTTTAATAAATATCACCTTACATAGGTTATAACTGTGATCTGTGATAGGTTTTAACTTCAAATAATTATATAACAAACATCCTGTTAAATTTCCCCAAACAATTAATCAAAGATATTAGGTTTATAAGTTGGTACGCCAGATGCGCGTTCCGTCTACATAAGACTCATCAGTAGCGCTCGAACCACAACAAGTTTGGAAGAATAATCAAATACGAATCTCCAATGAAGAGTGTAGACAACTTATAAGATGGTATATACTGTACACAGTGATGATATCAATTCATTGACAATTAGCTTATTTATGTAATAGTTACAAAAAATAACAAATTTCAGGATCCGCTTTTTGACCCCTGTATAGGCAGTCTATGCAAAGGAGATGAAGTATGTGAAATTCTGCAGAATCAAGACACTATCTGTGTATCAGACGGTAGGTATGAAAACATTACTGATGATAGCAGTATATTAGGTACATATGATTTAGAACATTTTCTATGTAATTTGGTGGATACAGCTACAAAGATTTATTAGAGAGAACAAAACTAAATTACAAATTGAGCCAATGGTAGAAAGAGAGATTTTGGGGAGAACAGCAGTGAGGTACGCCAGACATATGGTATAGAGTAAAGCATAAATGTACAATTGGGATCAGTTATAACATCTTTTCAGAACTGTCGGAATATTCTGTCATATATCTGTTTAGATAGGTACTACCCTAGAACAACACTCAAAAATAGCTTTTATCTGAAAGATGAAAATTTGGAAATTTAAACCAAATACAAACGTTGAAAGGCTAATATTACTCTATAAATACCAACAATTTAGTCAAGCTGGGACAAGGAACCAAACCTAAAGAATTATATTCCTTTTTTTCAAATGTTGTATGTTTTCTCACTGCAGATTACATACATACAATGTTCGTGTTTTCTTGCAAGTGCAGATGTACTTAATAAACTTATCATATAGATACCGGGCTTAAAATTTTGAACTCCAGAAGTGCGTTTCGCCTACAAAAGACTCATCAGTGACGCTCGAATAAACAAAGTTGGAAAAAAGGCCAAAAAAAGTACGACGTTGAAGAGCATTGGGGACCTGAAATTCCGAAAGGTCATACCGAGTACAGCAAAGATAATATATTCCTATTTTATAGAATGATAAGGATTGAAGTTGTTAAATTAATATTCATACAATGTTTTAGTTTATACGTGCTGTCCTTCTTATATTCTAGAACGTATAAACAGTTGTTTAGATAAGATCGTAACGATAAGAACAAGAACAAATCATGTAGGTAAAAAACCGTTAAAATATCACCACAAATTTTAACACCTCTCATTCCCCTTCCAAAGAGAAAAAAGGGGTTTTGTCTACTCCTTTGTTTTAATGGCAACCATCATAAATAACGTTTCAATGCTTCACTGCGTGCAAGAAAATTGTCCGTCAACTTCAAGGTATGCTGAAAATTTTAAAATCGTACAGCTCTACGGAATTTCCAAATTGTCCTCTAGAATTCGAACTGACATGATATTTATCTTGACCGTTTAACATCATGAATATGATCATATTATTACCCACCTGTACAGATTTTATCGAAAAGCAGTTTGTACTTTTATTTTTCGTTTTGATTTGAATGGATGTTTTTTTTTTGTTACGTCTTACACGGCAAAACGGCATTATGATCACGGAATCATCGCTTTATCATATAATAAAACAAAACACTAAATTAATTTATTCTGATTCAAAAGAGAGGCGAAGGTTACCAAAGGGACATTGAAACCCATCAGTCGAAAAATAAACTGACATCGTCATGGCAAATGATGAATCAAGACAGTTAACTATCTATCTCAAATACGTAGAATTGATTTGTGTTAAGCCTATTTATACGTCAAGGAAAGATCGAATGAAAAATACACCTTATACCTTGCGTAACGTCTCTATACATTTGTATATTAATACATGTGTCTCCAATGACCACATATTTTCCAATTGCGATATCTTGTTTCGTCAATTGTGACACTGATTCTTTGATTTGCTATCAAACGTTTTGTAAACTGTTGTTTGTTGGTTTTTTTCTGCCATGATATTGTCGACCTATGATTTGTTTGTCCCGCAGCTTTTTGATGCAACGTTTGTATTCTGTTTTTTTTTTATTTTCAAATAGTTTGGTCTTTAGCATGACTGAAGAGACATTGTGGCTGTGTATGTGTAATTGCTTCTTTTTTATTAAGTCTTTCTTTTAAGTATTATTTGACAATTGTAATTTGCTATAATCATGATAATGCAAGCAACAATTTATTCATTATCGAAATTGACTACAATTCAGATTATACATTTTTTATATTAACTTAAAACTGCTTTGGCTTGTTTAAGATTGTAAAATACCGAACGGAGAACCAATAAATGTTGCGCTTGGAAAGGTCACTGGACAAAGTTCCACACAAATGGATGCAGTTGTTGAGTATCCATCAGAATATGCTGTTGACGGCTTTACAAATACGTTTTCACATACGAATGCTGAACAGTCACCGTATTGGTGGGTAGATCTAGGAACCATTTACACCATTATGCGAATTGAAATCATCAACCGAGCTAATTACGGTAACTATTGGTAACATTGATAAGATTTAAAAAAAAGAACACTAAAAATGTGCGTTAGAACACTATGTAGTTCCCATACCATGAGGTTCGTTACATGTTACCATATGGTATGTGTATAACTTTATCAATGTTGTTCAAATGAATGTTAACAGTTTAAGAAATACGACTGTTCAAAATTTTCATTAGAATAAGTAAAAGATTTAAGAGAATACTATCAATTACCATTCTTTACAAAGAACTGAAATGAAATGTGTGGTAGTTTTCCGAGTCACCACACAATGTAAATTTTTGTATTTGTTCTTGATTTATTTAGTTCTTTTATTAGTTTCATTTTTGTTTTTCAGTTCTCTCGTGTTGCTACAAATCAACGTCAATTATTTGGGGGTACTGTTAGATAATGAAAACAAGTAATGATGTTTTTATGAAAACACAAAAGTCACCCAAAACACAGACTCCATACATAATTGAAAAATAATTTTCCTGAAGGTTTCTTCTATAGTAAATCCATGCCCATCTTAAAACCCATAATATACCTTAGGTCCATTTAATATGACAGATTTAACATTACGGCACAACCCGGATCATAGAGCTTGCAGGTCCTATAATATACAACATACGACTTATGGTTTCTGAGAATAGCTGCAGGAAAGATCATGTGGCTTATAAAGAAAAAGAAGAGCAAAATCAACTAAAATGAAATACAAAAAAAAAATTAGTATGAAATAAGGAGAAAAAATATAGATAAGATGATAAATGGTATGCATCCTAAGCGCCTTTCTAGAATAACCCTCATCAGGAACCATCAATGCCAAGGATGTATAAATACCGAAATGCATGTACAACAACAATAAGAGTATCCAACTTTTTTCGGGAGACATGAATACCAGATTGCCTTCTGCATAATCCTTACAAATTATTTTATACATGACGCCAATTTAACTGTGCAGGATGTAAAACTATGTAGTTGTGTCGGGGTTGAATTTAGTTTTAATTAATTATGTATACATGGTATAGGTTGCAATTCTGTAAAAATAGACAATGCAATTGCCCATAGGAACTCCCTTTGCGGCTCAAACTGTACCACCTTTATTATGACGTTTCGTGAAAAATTATATCCCAGAACGGAAAGTTAATATGCACGACTATTTTATTCAAAGGTCAAAATATAGGGCTGTGCGGCATATTTTCAACATTTATATGCCCTGAATTTCTAAGTGTTTAAACTTATACTTAAATTCTATACTACCCCTACCTCCACTTTTGGACCTCCTAAGAATTAAACTTTAGGCGCTACCATGTTTTTCTATACTGGTAACATGAAATGAAACACAGAGATCATATCTGGGAACCAGTACGTTAACAAATTAACATATCTATGAATATTACATATCTCCCCAAAAAAGGCATGGCTTGTGAAACAGCTGTATTTACAAAGTGCAACCTATACACACATTTATTCAAATAGAAAACTCTTAAAACACACCTTTTTCTCACAACAATACTTATTTATCAGAATTATAGCCTTAAAGAAATCACTGCATATACTCTAACTTTTCTTTTACAGTACATTTTATACCCCACCCCTGATTCAATTTTTTGAGGAATTTGAAAACAAGACCTTAATTATTGTCAGCTTACCCTATGTGCATGTTTTCTGACATGAAATGTCTAGAACCTGTTTGAAACTATTCTTATAACAAATTAAAAGCATTTCAGAATACAATAAATGTAAAGTTTGGTAGTTAATCATTCCAACATTCAAGAGTATATAAAGTATCCAATCCTGCCTTTGTCTCCAGTCCACATCTTACTGTATGCCTATTTGTCAATTAAAGTTAACAATTTCTACCTCAAATGGTCAGTGTAGAAATGTTGTCACAACAATATCATCTCTAACCATATATCTAACATAATTTAGCTAATACATGATCTAGAAGTGTTTAAACAAAGCCATATTTTCAGAAGTTGTATGTATGAAGTTACCAGTCTAATGTATTACTTCACTAAAAGTTTTATAGAACTGACTGCTAACATCTGTTTTTTGCATAATTTCAAAGCACATTTATTGTTTTCTATACAAAACACCTTTAAAATAATAAAATCATAGCATTTACAGGTTAAATTATCTGTTTTGTGACCAAGGGGGTAGGCATTTTCCTGTTTTTTTTTGCCACTGGGGCCTCACATTTGCTAAATTATTCTGTTTTTTTTTCTGTGAGTATGGAATATTCAGTACATATTTAGGATAGAACACACGATTGTTAGTTTTATTGAGGTATTTTTGTATTTCTAGCTTGTATTTTTTTATGCCGCGGTCACAAAAAAGCACATTCAGGTGTTACGGCTTACTTTTGTGTTATCGACAGAACAAAAACACCCAAAAAACAATATTCAGGAAGTTTCAATGACTGCGAAGAGTAAATATAAGCACTTCTAAACAATTCAAATTACAAATATGCATACATTAAGAATTTATTTTGAATTCAGGCCTTTACGTAAACTATGCATACTGTAAACTGCGAATTTATGCTCAGTCATCATAGTTAAGGCCCAGGATTTTCTCAATCTTCATGACATATTCATAAAACTTTGTATTTGATTTAATTTCATTTAAATCACTGAGATAAACCTGATTTGGTGAAATTTTATATGTTCTCTTTTTTCACCCTATATAGGTTGCAATTCTGTAAATATAGACAATGAAATTTCCCATAGGAACTCCCTTTGCGGCTAAAACTGTGCCACTTTTACTAAAAAGTTTCGTGAAAAATTATATCCCAGAACGGAAAGTTGATATGCACTACTATTTCATTCAAAGGTCAAAATATAGGGCTGTGCGGCATATTTTCAACATTTATATCCCCTGAACTTCTAAGAGTTTAAACTTATACTAAAATTCTAAACTACCCCTACCTCCACTTTTGGACCTCCTAAGAATTAAATTCTAGGCGCTACCATGTTTTTCTATACTGGTAACATTCCCAAGTTATGTCTCTATGAGATGAAACACACAGATCATATTTGGGAACCAGTACGTTAACAAATTAACATATCTATGAATATTATATATGTCCCCAAAAGAGGCGTGGCTTGTGAAACAGCTGTATTTACAAAGTACAACCTATAAGGGAGTGCTTTACTGGATATAAAAGAGTATGGAAAGCATAACCATCGTTGGTTGTGGTTTGCTGTGTTTCTTTGCTTTATATTAAGCACTATCGTTATTATGTTATGTAGTTAATTCACTCTATTATGTAGTTAGTTTGTTATTTTATGTAATTAATTTCTTATAAAAAGAAATTGCGTTATCATCTTATGTTGATACTTTTGTACGTTATGGTACCAGTCTTTTTTATTGTATGGTACCAGTTTTGTATTTCAACTCCGGTTTCCGGAGCATGTCGAAACTGGAAGTAGAAATAAAATTTCTATACTCAATGTTTTCCGTTGAGTTTTAAGTTTTTACTGAATTGAAACATCTCTCTGGATGTAAATAGAAATAGAAATATATTTTTTTGGAAAATCAAATTAGGAAAATTGAAAGTAGTTTCACGCCTTTTCATTCTCCGTGACATGAGACATTTAACATAGACAATTTTTTCTACGTGGCATTTTTTGTTCACTTTTTTTAAAGATCAGCTGTTTTGCATGTAAGCCTATCGGAGCAGCCAATAACAAGACTGCAACCTAATGTGCTTTCATTATTATGTTGCTTGCTTACGTTTTTATATTATGTGTTTTCTTTCTTTTTGTGCTATACCATTGTCCTTATATTATAAAAATACTATATTAAAATAACCACATAACATTTTGACGTAACAACATAACATAATATTGATACGACATAATATAGAAAGGACATCATATACAGAAAAAAACATACTACTTGAAGACATTCTTGGTGTTACATAAAAGATCAAGAGTGATTAAAATACATACTTTAGAGCGTCTATTTGCCTGATAGAGAGTACCTATTCACTTCCATTTTGATTAGAAACCTTAACTTATATATGCTCTTTGGAACTGTCAAGAGCCCTGCAACTCCTGTTGCCAATGAACATCCGTTTAAATTGACCTTGCAAGATGTATGAATACATGTCTGTTGTGGTTGGGAACATCGTTTTATACAATTTAATGTTGATTCGTGTTTTGTTTACATATATTAATATTACGCATTTACGAATTTATTTGTTATTACTTTTACATAGGCGAAAGGCTTCATGATCTTGACATAGCTGTTGGACCAAGCCTTGATGATATTTCAATATTTTCACATTACGAAGGACCCGGTAAAGATGGAGAGCATCTCGTATTTCAGCGCAAACGGTATACAGACGGTCGTTTTATCAAACTGACCATCACTAATGGAACAGAAATGCTAACCGTGGCAGAGCTATATGTCTTTGCTTATCCAATATGTTAATAAATGGACAGAATGATCATAACATTTTGTATATGTGTCATGATTACTTTTTTTATATTTCACTTATTATATATTTCATGGAGCAATTTGAACATCCAAAATTTGAAAATCTGTTATTAAAGTCGTAAACAAATCAAAATAAGACAGACCTTCGCATTATCAATCTCACATACTCGAGATCGTAGATCAGCATTATATAACAATTGAATTATTAAGACTGGTAGAAATATTGGCAGATATTTTGTTCTGAATAAATATGGGTCTTATTTTCAGACACGATTGCCTACAGAGGACTTTATACTATTACAAAATTAGTGTCATTTGGCGAATTCGTTTTAATAAAATATTCGTTATGTGTTGATAGCACCTATTGTCAAATTTGCTGCATATTGTACTTGCTACATATCAGCTGCGAATCCCAATGTGAAGCTTTTACACGTGATCGCGGCGAACAAGTTCAAAAAGGCTTCCATGTTAGCTCAATATAACTTTAATACCCCCAGTAAGATTTTATTGTTACCAGCAATTATTTGTTTTCAATAGTTTATAACATATCTTAATATACTAACTTAAAAAACATTATGGTCGTACATCCTGTGGAATCTGTTCACTTATATTTTGCGTTGTTATTATTTTATTTTTTTAATTTTTCTATGTCGGGAACTTTTTATTCCTGGGTATACATTATTGGTTATGCTAATAATTTCATAAGTTTACGCAATTTTGACTCCTGTGGATTGTTGTCTCCGATTAAGATTTAAACCCTCGAGACCCCTTATTTTGTATCCATCCGCTGATATTTTCACAATATAAATATGATTAATTTTAATAGTAGATTTATTGGATTGTACATTCGTGTTTTACATAAGGGACCGTGCAATATTTATCAGGCAGGTGGGACCAAAAAGAAGTGAATGTCTTATACTGCTTTCGGTTGTAAAACCTCGATGTCCTTTGATTTACATGCAGAAAAAAAAAGTATGTATCCTATTAACTTTATCTGAATTAATATGTCACTAAGTGATATGATGTTCTAAGTGATAGTTGTTTTTCCTGTAGTAATAAATGAAAACTGTTTTTGAATATTGTTGTTCAAGTTTGTAAATGATCAATAATAGAATAAAAAAGACGTTTAAGATTGTACTTAAGTGAAATTTAAAAAAAAAAATCTGGAATTTAAAATTGATGCTATAAATCAGAACAGCATAAGTTTATAAGGAATTGATAGGATATGGAACTCATTTTCGAGACATTTGATGTTTAAAAAACGGGGAGAAAAGCTTTCTTGGACTTTGACCTTATATTTAGCATTGGCATTACTTGGGCTTCAAATCGTAAGAAAGGAAATCTAGAATCTGCTTTAATTTTGTCAAATGACTTTTATGACTTATTGAAGTCTTCTATGAAAAGAAAAGTATATATGTACATGTTGTTCAACTTTGCCTATTTATCTTGAAAGAGGTTGCTTCATTTAATTTGTTCATTTGATGATTATTACTTGCTTTTTAATATCAATGTTGATTTTGTCTGCAAATTGTTAAAAATGGGTTACTTCAAATGAATATGAACATATCATGTATTTCCATGATAATATATCAAAGATGATGATTTAAGCCAAAAAATAAAGAGCCGATATGCCAATACTTGAACATTAATAAAATTTGCAAATCAAACAAATACTATAGTAAATATCATTTAAGTGTGTTTTCTATTATAAAGCACATGTATACTGAGAAAAACAGTTGAGCAACATGTATTTTTAGTTTAATATATAACAAACAATCGATACTTTTAAATATCTTACGGTGTTTATATATCACAACTCGTTCGCTATGCCCGTGTCTGTTGTGACGTTTTAGATTTCAATGAACGTATTCTAAAAGGTTACCCACACTGTAATTATATCTTTGAATATTGTTTTTATTGGTATTAATATTGATTTTGTTATCAGTAAATTAAAATCAAACTAAATGTTATTTTTATATACATATGCACATTCATGGCTCTACAATCTGTCGATACCTGTATCTTGGCATTGCACAAGGTCATGTTTTTCTCTGACAGTTTATGAAATCTTTTGGATGTTGGATGTGTACTGATTGATATTTTAGTCTTAGATGCATGATTTTTTATTTAGTTGTTATTGGCTTTGAACTAGCTGTCAGTAACTGAGAGAACTCTCAGATCTGTACTTAGTGTCCTTTTGTTGTTGGGATGTATAAGTACCCGTCCACGTCCACTCTGTTTTTGTATGATGTATTCTATGTATATCCATCTGAGAAGTTAAGCCTTTTTCAACTGATTTTTATAGTTATTTCTTATGTTGTACTGTTACACCACTGTCCCAAGTAAGGGGAGGGTTGACGCCTTCAAACGAGTTTTACCCCGTCACATTCTGTATGTGCCTGTCCCAAGTCAGGAGCCTGTAATTCAGTGGTTGTCGTTTGTTTCTGTGTAACATATTCGTTTTTCGTTCATTTTTTTGTACATAAATTAGGCCGCTATTTTTCTCGTTTGAATTGTTTTACATTTGTTTTTCGGGGCCTTTTATAGCTTACTACGCGGGATGGGCTTTGCTCATTGTTGAAGGCCGTACGGTGACCTATAGTTGTTAATTTCTGTGCCATTTGGCCTCTTGTGGAGAGTTATCTCATTGGCAATCATACCACATCTTCTTATTTTTTAATATAAATGTACATTGTGTTTTGTTATATTAATTATTATGATTGTACAAATGTTTCTTGTTTGGATATTTAGTTAATAATATTTTCTGTTTGATAGCAATAGTTTGAATAAATCTTCATCTCCTATGGTCACCAAAGGTGAAAAAAGTGGTGACCCCATGCCTGAAGTGGATGATAAATGTGTTTGTCCAACTGTGGTTTGCACCGGTGCCACCTGCCTGATAAATATTGCACGGTTCTTAAGGTAAACAGTAGTTGTTGACTTTCATGCAAAAAGTAAAAAAACAAAAAATACCGAACTCCACGGATAATTCAAAACGGAAAGTCGGTTATCAAATGGCAAAATCAAAAGCTCAAAAACATCAAACGAATTGAAAACAATTGTCATATTCCTGACTTGGTACAGAAATTTTCTTATGTAGAAATTGGTGGATTAAACCTGGTTTTGTAGCTAGCTATACCTCTCACCTTTATACAGCGGAGAATGCGAGACAAAGGAATACTAGGTCAATTTGGTAAATGGAATGTTTGTAAGATTATTTGTCCGTCTGACAGCTTTCTTCTGACATTGACCTGCTGTTTATGGTTCATGGTTTATTGGTCAATATTAAGTAATCTTGATTTCGTATATTTCTCAGATACTTTAAGCAGTAGGTAAACTTTATCTCTTTAAAATAATAGATAATTTAGAATAATAGTAACGTGGCCATGTCAATCCGGCAGTTTTCATATAACAATGGCGTCATTTGAATGGTTCATTGGTCAATCGTACGTTGTTGTAACAATGTCCGTTTCGCAGATACTTTGAACAGAAAGTCAATTGCATATTTTGCATTAGACGATTGTAAATTTGTATAATATGGTGTACATGTCCGTCTGGCAGTTTTCATCTGATCTTTACTTTATTTACATGCATTTAATCTCTTAAAATGAATAATTGTAACGTTGCCATGTCAATCTGGCGGTTTTCATAAAACAATGACGTAATTTGCAATGTTCATTGGTCAATCGTACGTTTTTGTAACAAGGTCCGATTCCCAGCTACTTTGAGCAGAAAGTCAATAACATTTTTTGCATAAAACGATTTCACATTTGTATAATATGGTGTACATGTCCGTCTGATAGATTTCATCTGATCTTTACCTCATTTACATGCGTTGCATAGCTCATTGGTTAACGTTAAGTTTTCTTGATTATATATGTTTCTCGGATATTATAAGCAATTAGAGATCTATAACTAGTTTAGAATTATTGTAAGGTGTACATGTTCATCTTGCAATTTCACATCACCGTGACTTAATTTTAATGGATCATTATAATGCTTAGTCATGTTATGAATGTATTAAAATATTGATCTTAAAGACTTTCAACATTACATTCAATCCTGATTAGTAAAGCAGGAGACGCATTGTCCTCGTTTCATGTGTCATTTAAGCTGATTCAACACATTTGACGTCATAAAGTAGTGTTATGCAATATTATAAAGAGCTGGATAGAGTAATAAAGGCCAATTACAGTATGATCATCTATGATAGAATAGAAGTCCTCCTGAACCCCCATCTGATGACGAAATACTTTGACTTGATTGAAGTGGGGAAATGTTAAATAGAAGCCTTGCCGTAGTTGAAGCTATAATGAAACATAACGAAATCACATACTGTGGATTTATACATTTTCGTTGATTTAGAATTAATAGATTTTCGTACAAGTTCAACTTTTATATTCGTGGTTTATATTTACCAACGAAATCCACGAAAGTTGGTATTCCGTGAATAATATTGAATCCATAGCACGAACTTATCTCCCGAGGTGACAATATATTACCCTTAATGCTCTTTAAAATATCCTACTAAAATCTACTTTCTCCTTCAATTTTAATCTTTATTCGTTAAATATCAAACATAACGAATGATTTGTATTACTTGCATGATCTATCGTACATTTGCATGTATTTTTGCGATCTTTAATTTTACATGTTAACACTTCAGATAAAAAAATGTATTTTATGAATAAATAAAGTATTTTTTGTCTTAAAAATTTGCTAGAAATACAGAGTGTCTCTATATACAACTGTTAATGCATCGTTTCAATTTTCTAACATTATATTTCAAACCAAAGAAGATTCAGTTCAAACCATAACTCTACTGTTAAAAAGTAAAGAACAACCAATTTTGAATTATACAAATACATATAACGTCTTTCATTTTAAACTATCGTCCAGATCATACATATACATACGACATAATCATGATAATGATATGTTGGAGTTTAGATATTTTTTTTTCTCTCATTTTTAAAAAATTACTTTGCAAGCACATGATACATTAGTGTGTTGCTTAACTTATGTATTAAAATATTGATAAACGTAATTTGATTTGCTATCATTATGTATGTAACTGTTAAACAACTCTTTTAAAGAGCCATTTTCAACAAAAGCTTAGTATGATAAAATATTAATTAACGTTTTACAAATGCTTTTAGATCGAATAAGCAATAATGATGTTTCGGTCTAATTAAAACTTTCACCGAAATGTGCTTAATTGGCGGCTGCTTTCGTCATTTTAGTTAAGTATCTTTTGTATGAGTGCATTAGTAAACAAACCCTATATCTATGGAACGCCACAGCTGTCTTATGTGGTACTCTAATATTACATTATGTGGTTTTATTACAACATGTGCTTTTTTTTCCAAAGCTCTCAAATAGAAGCAGTATTATTGTAAAAAAAATCGTAAGGGGTTCCGTGAAACCCTCTGTCTCGCCTGCTGTCAGTGTTAAAGTGTTATGTTCACTGTAAAAACCGACAGTCCATTTATCATTAAAAAATAGTCCAATTAGATTTCTTTTCATGGTCATGAAGATTAGCTTCTGTCTAACATGTGGAAGCTTTATAACAATCCATGAAGGTTTAAAATGTATCGTGTAAAATAACTTTATTTTGGTGAATGTGTACTGCCAAAAATATAATATGAAAATAAGATGTTGTGGTATGATTGACAATGAGACAACTCCCCACTTAGATACCAAATGACGTAGAAGTTAACAACTATATGTCATCGTAAGGCCTTCAACAATGAGCAACACCGACACCGCATGCATGTGGTAAGCTATAAAAGGCCCCGAAATGACAAATGTAAAACAATTTAAACGAGAAAAATAACTGCCTGATATATGTACGAAACAGTAAACGAAAAACAAATATAATAAACAGCAATGAACCACAATCACCGAATTACAGGCTCCTTACTGGGGCCTAGGTCCATCAATCAGTAAAATACTAAAAAAAAATTTTAAAAAGTATTTCAAAATTTTGCTTCAGACATTATATCTTTATCATAAAAAAAAGCTTCTTCTAAAGTTTCATAAAAGGTTTGACAAAACATTTGATGTGTAACAAACTTTAACCACGGATTTCATCAAATTGTTTACAAAAAAAAATAAGTCCTTTTATCTGTTAAATAAGGAAACTATATATATATCGGACTAAGGGACAAAGTATCAATTGTATAAAATAAGATTTCTCCGATTTTTTTAGCGTGTATGATCATTTGAACATATACATATATCAATCTTTTATTTTGATAAATTGCGTTCTCTGATATACCTCACAGTATCTTGAAAAAATAACTATTTGGAATATTTTTTAAAGATAACGACGGATATGTTTCAATTGTCGTAATCACAATCACTTCCTCTTTTCCTCGAATGTGACCTATCGATTTAGACTGATCACCGAATGTATACTTACATGAACAACACGACGTTATCAAACGTAAAGCAGATTGTTTGAGGGGGAACCGCTTTTGCGATTTTCTTTCGCAATAAAATAAACTGTGTATTAGTTTGAATAATTATAGTCAAATGGTGGACAACAAACTCATTCACTTGTGTCATTTGACGTCATAATGTATTGATATCTGTTGTATATTTGTTTTTGTGAATTATTTATTCTTGCAGATATTGTTTCACTAAAACACAAACGGTATTATGATTGTAACTGCATATGACATGTGATTTGCAAGTAATGGTTTTATATCACAGACAATCACTTGAAATATATATGCATAGTCAGGGACGGTTTTGATAGTTGAAGACTTGAGAGGACTTTATTAGAATCGTGATTGTAGAAAATGCGTCTGAGTATATACCATTGACTGTTGTTATTCTATAAAATCCTGCAAATGTATGCTGATCAATGTACATCAGGAACTTTCCGGATAAATCCAGATAAGCGAGGTTTAAAGTTGCGTGGATTTACTTATCGTACTTTTAAAAATATATCACCGAGGGTGTGCTTCCAAAAATGTATCCGGCAAAATTGATGTCATTCTTACAACTATAACACAGCTTCTCTTAGATGTGAACTTAATTTGAAACCAATGT